CCTATGAGCAAGTGAGGCTTTGGGGGATATCTAGATATAAACCATAATAACAAACAAAACAACAAAAACCAAGGTGTGGCAAACATACTTTTCATCAGTAAATAAAAACTCCTTTGCTAACTGGCTCCTTTTTCTGTAACAGTGCCCAGCACGTGGTAAATACTGAATGTCTGTTTGAATAGTTATCTATAAGCCTAAAAGGAAAAGAGGAATGGGAAGTTAGCAGGGTTATTTTGAAATTTGATCACAATGTGTTATGACAGCAAGAAAAGCTGTTAAATTATTGTAAAAGCCTGGCAATTTTACTCTACCTCTGAGCAGGTTAATATCAAATGGTATGGAAAGGCTTGTATGTGTGTGCAATTCTGTTTTCTCTCCTTCCTTCTCTCCCTGCCTCCCTCCCCACTCCTTCCCTCTGTTGTTCAGTGTATGTAACTTGAAGCTAATTTATACTAATAGTTATCTGATTGGAGCCTCAGATTTAAAATCTGTATTGTTCTTACTGAAACACAGCATGGAATTAACATTAAACTCAAATAAAACAAACCTAAACTTAAAAATGCAGGAAAAAACAAAAACCGAGCAAGTGCTTTTTTCTATTGCCAGTGTCAGGTTAGGCAAATCCTGCCTTAAAATGTAAAATTATCTGGGCATGGTGCAGCATACCTATAAAACAAGCACTCTGGAGTCAGGCATGATGGTGCACACCTCTAATCCCAGCACTGGGAAGGCTGAGGCAGGAGGATCACTATTCGTTGGAGGGCCGGGGATTTAGCTCAGTGGTTCTGCCACCTGCCTGCAAGTGGAAAGACTTTGATCCCCAGTACAAAACAAAACAAAACAAAAAACAAAAACCAGGGGTTGGAGGCTAGCCTAGGCTACGTAGTGAGAGCCTGTCTAAAAAACCCAAAAAACACAGCACTCTGGGAGGCTGATGCAGGAGTCTTCAAGCCCAGCCTGGGCAATTTAGTGACTCAGTGAGACTCAGTCTCAAAATATAAAATAAAAGACTGGGGATGTAGCTCAATATGAAGGCCATCAGTTCAATCCCCACTAGTGCAATAAACAAAGTGCAGTGTTATCTTGATTTATTTTGCATTACCCAAAGGCCCTCTAAAGATCTGACTCACAACCCTCATCTTAGACAAGAAATTTTTAAGTAGTTTCTCCTAAATTTTTCCTTAAAGACCCTTCCCACCAACAGCATTCCAATGAGTCTGAGCTTGTTTCTATTCTTCAGTTGACAGGAAGTTTATCAGGAGTGATGAACACACACCATCTATCAAAAATAACTGAGCTTGTCAAAGGATAGCAACTTTCTTTTCATGCTTCTGCCCCAGTGTAATCCCAGCACTCAGAAAGCTGAGCCAGAAAAACTGAGTTGGAGGCCAGTAAGGGCTACATAGCGAGTTGGAGGCCAACCTATAGTGTAAAGAGAGATCTTGTCTCAAAAATAATAAATAAATAAATAATAAACAAAACCACTGATAATGATAAAGGGAAAAATAAGAGACCATATAAAGCAGGAACTCTCAGAGCCCTATTGTTACTGGGGCTCTAGGGTGCTAAAGAATGGTCAAGACAAGTGTAAGAGGTAGTGAAGTTATTAAAGGTATAAAAGGTAGGAAAAGAAGTATTCTGTGTAGGGTGCAGCGGGGCCCACTGAAAGCTTACAAAGGCCACGAGGTTAATGGCCACCCTCTATTGTGTCCCCCACTCCTCAGGCTGCTATCAGATCTAAGCCATTCCATCAAAATCCTGCTTGTAGCCGGGGATTTAGCTCAGTGGTTCCCCCACCTGCCTTGAAAGAACAAGGACCTGAGTTTGATCCCCCGGTACCAAAAAAAAAAAAAAAAAAGTCCTGCCTGATTTCATGCCAGAATTGAAGACAGCATTTTCTGATTGGTCCCAGATATAGGTCTTGGGAACTGTTTTTGTTGTTGTTTGTTTGTTCCTGGATCTCTATTATTAACACTCCCACTTGCCCAGATGGTTGGCCATGCCCTAATCTACCTCATTATAAGGAAGGGGGGAGGTGGGAACCAGTAGGATAAAGGGAACGCTATTGTTACTGCCTTGTTCAAGACAGGAAAGGCAACCTTAAGGGAATTAACATCTAAATGGCAGGCACTAAGATATATAAAATAATAATAACAATAATAAATGGCAGGCTCTGGGAGACGTACAAAGACAAATCTGTGCCTTCAAGCAGCTTGTAATCTAGTGGGGAAACAGGAACATAATTACTGTAACATGAGGAGGCTCGAGATAGGAACAATTTGCCCTGATGGCATCGGTGATTAATTCTGACATAGGTGTAGTACCTAGTTTATGCTTTGAAGGATTTGAATGATTTCGATAGAAAAGTTAATGCCTATAGCAGGATAGAGGGAACAGCATGAGTCATACAAAAATACAGCAACTCAACTAGAATGAATACGCAGTACATCACATGTAGGATAGGATGCAGCAGAGAAATATGATGAGGATTAAACTGGGAAAGGCCTTAGTTCTACACCTTTGTACTTACTAGTGGCATCACAGAGCATTTTTTGGCAACAAGAACAAATGGGGAGCCACTCAAACGGTGCAACTAGGAATTGAGAAGCTAACAGACAATACAAAGTAAAATGGACTCAACACAGAAAATGAAATCCAAAGGTCAAAAAACATTCACCCTCCAAGCCCTAATTTAAAGGAATCTTTTAGAACTAGGCATTTGGTGCCCCCTGGTGGGTAGATGAGAACTCCCCAGCATTAAGGGGATCAGTCCGTGTTTCATGCTTCAAATGAACTCCAGTAATTCTGAACACTTTATCCAGCATATGGCTAGTCAGCCTCTGCAGGAGTTTCCACACTGAGATGCCCTCACACTACTATAGTTTTCCAGAAAAAAAAAAAAAAAAAGACTTCACATGCCTAATCACAACAGGAGGTAGTATGATCAGTGGTCAATACTAAAGTACTAGTGGTTAACTAGAATTACTGAGAATTTACTGAGAACTCAGAATACAATGCAACCGGAGAGGCAGGTTAAGGCTTTCTGGATACAGAACACAGCCATTTCAACCTAAGATTTTTGGAGAAAGGAGCATCCAGATCATGATCAGAGGTAACTCAGAACCCAGTACGCAGAGGTTGTGTAGGTTTGTGCTGGGAAGCAGTGCCCAAGAATAATGGAAATAAAGTCTTTGTAAATAGGGAAGGGTGGAGGGGATGAAGGGAGGGCTAGGAATGGGGAAAAAATAAGAACCAAGATGCATCATGTAAAGGTACAAGTTCCCAATGAGAAATGTAAATGTTGTATACCTACAATGTACCAATGAAAGAATTAAAAAAAAAAATTTAGGACCAATCTAATAGAATATGGAAGCTAGACATGGTGACCGACACTTGTTATCTCAGTACTCTGGAAAGGAGGGGCAGGACCCCAAATTTAGGCACACCCTTGTAACTTAATGAGATTCTGCCTCAAAATTTTAAAATGAGCCAGGTGTGATGGTGCTTGCCTGCACTGAGGATCATTCAATGAGTTCAGGTTTCAAGGTTAGCCTAAACTACATACACTGTCAAAAAAAAAGTTAAACTAGATGTGGTAGCACACACCTAATCCAGGCACTCAGGAGGCTGAGGCAGGAGGATCATGTGTTTTGAGGCCAGCCTATGCTTCAAACTGAGTTGAAGGCTAGCCTGAACTACAAAGCAAGACACTGTCTCAAAATATTTTTTAATTTCTAAAAAGGGATGGGGATGTAGCTCGGTGTGAAGGACCTCGGTTCAATCCTGAGTTGTGCAAATTTTATACATGAAATTACCACGATGGCTAAGTATCCCCTCAGCAAAATTTAAGACACCAAAAACAATGAGACACAGTTGTGAAGTTATTAATGGACTAAGTGGTCATTTCATGGCTGGGAGAAACATGCTTTGCAATTGTCTTAGGTTGTTCTTGCATTTCTTGAGTTCACCCTGAGATAGGAAGGTACAAATTTAGGGTATGGTTATAGATAGTTCACTTGCATGTAAATTTTGCTATTAGATCATTCTAATCTGGCTATTCTTTCACTTATGCAGAACACTCATCAGCTATAACTAAATACATAATGTTCCTGCTAGTTGTAATCTTAACTCCTACTCCTTAATTTACAAATGGGAACTCCCCCTCCAGAACACCAATACTTTTACAAAGTAAAATTAACAGCCATCTGCGATGTAAGAATAAAAAGATAAATGATCTTTACACCCAAAAGGCCAGAACAATTTTTATTTTCAAAAACAACTTTATTCATGACACATATTTAAAAAAAATTCCCGCCCCCTGGAAATGAGCTAAAAAAATAAACAAAATCCACCTCCCACCTCCCTGTTCCCACTTCCTCCCATTCCCTCCAAATAAAAGGGAAAAAAAGGCAAAGAAAAAAAAACAACAAAACAAAAAACTGAAAAACAAAAAACCCCCCAAAACAAGGTAGTGCATTTCCCCAGGGGGAAGGGGAATTTACACTGGAGCCGCTGGGAGCGGAACGGAGATCTTCCGGCTACAGAAACCTGCAAAGAAAGACACTCAAAACAGAAAAAGAAACACAAAAGGAAACAAAATAGATCACCAGGCAATCTGGAGGGCAGGGAGCCGAAAGTCGGTTGGGGTAGGTGGTAAACCTGGCAGGACAGGAGCAGGCGGGAGGGGACTGTGAAAGGCAGGGAGAAGATGGAGGGAAGGTAACAAGCAGAACAGTTTGGTGTCCTTCCAGAGCCCTGGGTAAAAAAAAACCCTCCTATCACCCATGCCCACCTACCCTTGAGCAGCCCTCAAAGGGGTGAAGTAGGGCAGGGAAACATGGGCAGCAGCTTGCACAGTTGAGAAGTGTCCATGGCGAATCCCCAGAGTGAATGAGCAGCCCCCTGCCCCACTCCCTGGGCCTTCCCCTACTCCCCAAAGCAGGTCCCTCCTCAGCAGTTAGTTATGGGATTCTCCCCCCTTCCACAGTGTATCTTTTTTTAAAAAATATTTTTTTTTCCATCAAGGTCATCTTCTGTTTTTCTTTTTTTTTTTTTAATTCTTTTTTTTTTTTCCTTCTTTCCTTTTTTTCCTCTCTCTCCTCCTAATACACACTTTTTTTAGTAAGGGGAATACCATGATGTCGCTCTAGCCCGGCCCCTGGAAGAAAGAAGGAGAGTTAGGTGTTAACATGATCACTAGATAGATCAACACAAGCCCCTCCCCGTGGGCCCTTGCCCCAGTTACTGTGAATGGAAGTGGGGAAAAGAAGTTTTCAAGTGTCTTAAAACCGACTCCACAATCCCAGAAATAGCAACACACCTGGCAAACGGGGGATAGCAGGGGGTACTAACAGAATTACTCTGCCAAACAGCAGCAATAAAGAGATGCATCTGAGAATCAGGAGCAAGAAAAAGGACCCACTGTTTATCCAGTTTTCATTGTCCACAGCTCTTAAACCCTATCTTGTGAAAAGCCAAGGTTTTATGCCTAACCTATCTATTTAAGTGTAAGAAAGGAGGTAAAAGCTAAGCCACAACACGGGCACCACACCAGGCCCAGTGAGAAATTAACCTTGGAAAAAGGCTAACTCAATTAAAGAATAAATATCTCAAAATCCTCCCACATGGCTGTGGAATAATCAACTGGCCTCTGGTGTCCTTCCAAGGGAGGTTTAACCTCTCCCTAACCCTGGGAGAAGTAGCAATCACAGTCCTGAGGCCCTGTTCTTCCTAACTTTGGGTAAACAACTTCAAGGCAACCAACTCTAAAGCACACCACACACAAAAAAAGCCGGGAGGAAACATCTCAGACGCGATCAGCCCTTGTCACCAATTTCTGCTACAGAACAGATGAGATTGGCCTCCTGATCTGGCCTGCAACTACCTTCCTCACCCTGCACAGGCTGGAGACCAAGTCCAGGGGAGGGGAAGGAAGGGAAGGTCCTCAGATCAGGAGAGAATGAAGCATACAGGGCTCATGGGAGGCGGGGAAAGAGGAGCAGCCCATCTATCCTGACCTGTAGACACGACCTCGGGGCCTGCTGTTAAAACCACTGTAGAATCGAGAGCGGGAACTGTTATAGTTGGTGGTCCGGGCACGATAGCGGGCACGCGGGAAACCTCGGTCTGTTGTGCTGATGCCTGGTCTATTGGTTCGTTTTGGGATCACCTGGGAGTAAAGGCATACAACAGAAAGCCTTAGTGTGTTGAGGATTTAGCTCAGTGGTGCTGCTGCAAAAGCAAGGTCCCAAGTGCGAGTCCCCATACAAAAATAAAAAAAAGAAAGCCTTAGTGTAAGCCTGAAGAGTTTCTATATTACCGAACAGCAATGGCAGGGCTTACCTTGATTTGTCTTCCTCTAAATAGGGACTCGTCTAAGGCCAGGGAAGTCCTCACTGACTCTTTGTCTGAGAACTCTATATAGGCAAACCTGAAGAGAATAATTGTCACTTTATCTGCGTTCACAAATAGCTCACAGATTAACTGCAACTTGTAGACATACTTTGTTTTTTGGGGGTTTTTTAGTACCAGAGATCGAACTCAGGTCCTTGTGCTTGCAAGGCAAGCGACAGAACCACTGAGCTAAATCCCCACGGAACCACTGAGCTAAATCCCCGGTCCCAGACATATTTTGAATACTATGTGTTTACGTTTTAAATTACTTAATTCACTTTTTTGGGGGGTTTTTTTTGAGACAGGGTTTCCTTATGTAGCCCAGGCTGGCCTTGAACTTCCTGGAAATCCTCTGGTCCCAGCCTCCTGAGTACTAGGATTACAGGTGTGTGCCACCACGCCCGGCTCTTAATTCACTTTAAAATAAAAGGTTTTAATCAAAGTTTCTAGCCACTCAGCTGCCTGTCCCCTTCTAATTTATGTGCAACCTCTGATATACATCAACATTAATACCACATTAGAAGAAAAAGACCATTTGCTTTAACAATACGTAAATTACTGCTCAATGAAAAGCATAAGCTATTGCTGGGGAATGTATAGCTTAGTGGTAGAGAATGTGCTTAACATCCACTAATGCCCTGGGTTTAAACCCAACCACCACAAAAACAAAAGCTCTAAGTTATTTTTAACTGATTAAAACAATCTTAATTTCTTTCCCTACTTACCCTTTGGGATGGCCACTAAATTTGTCACAAAGTATGGTGACACGGTTAACTGAACCACAGCCATGAAAGTGAGCTTCTAGCTCTTCTGCTGTTGCACCATAGTCCACCTGAGGAGAGGAGGGACATTTTACAGGTACTGAGCTAGCTCCTGTCTCAACAAGTCCCCTGCCTGACCTTTAGTTTGGGCCATCTCTATATATCAAGGCATGTCAAATAATCCTTTGACTTGCAATTCCGGAGCTTTTGTTGATAACTCCATATTTTACCTCCTTCCAACTCTCCCCACACCCAGAATCACCACCTATACTGGAAATGTTCAAGATTATTAAATACCTCCTCCAAGTAAAAATGTACCCACAAACCCCAATTGAATCCCTAATACATACATTGCCAACATAGATGGAACGAGCATCAGCCTCCATTCTCTCTTCGATAGACATGATCACTGGACCAGCTTTGAGAAAAAAATAAACAAACGTTTTCTTTTTTTCTTTTATTCTTTGATTCTTTGATACACAGCCTGACTATGTAGCCCAGTATGGCCTCAAACTTGTGATCCTTCTGCCTCAGCCTCCCCAATGCTGGGATTACAGGCGTGAGTGGCCTACCACACACCCTACCTCCCCCACCAACACACACGTTTTCTACTAGGTCAATATATATGTATGCACCCCCACCACCATTATACCATAAACTCAGGGAAGACAAAGATTTTTGGTCTGTCCTATTCTATTCCCTGCTGTTTCCACTACCTAAAACAGAGCCCAGCACATAATAGTTTCTCACTAAATATTTGACAAATTAAGGAGTAAATTAATACATCCTCAAAAGTCACAAAGAACACAGGAATCCCCACCCCCCCCCAATTAAGTCCTTACTGAATGCCTTTAAGAGGGAACAAAACTAAAGGGCTGAGACTCGACATTTTTAGATTAAAGAAGCCCCTTGCGGCTAAGCAGCTTCCCTTGAAAGTTGTAACTAAACAGCCTTCAATTGAAACAAAAAAAATTAGACTAGAAGGTCAAATGCCAGATGGCAATCTCCACAACAAGGGTAGAGGCAGATTAAGAACAAAGAGAAACACTTTTATAACGGTGACAAAGAGAGGCACAAGATTCCTACCACCAAAACACAGGTTCTTTTTTGTCTGTTCTCACAAAGGTCAACGGAGCACACAATGGACTATGGACCATAGCACCTGCCCAATAACTGCTCAGACAAGCAGCTCCGAGGTCCTAAGCAACTAATGCCACATTCCCTGTGCTCCCCACAACCCTCCAACCTGGGGCCCTGGCGTGAGTGCAAACTCCCGGTTACTCACCATTGCCTGGAGGTGGACTCATATTCATCTGCTTCTCTACCTCGTTCTGCAGCTCTTTTAGCTTCTCAGCTTCTTCCTCCATCTCCCTGACTCGAGCTTTGATTGCTTCCAGCTCCTACAATGAATGGGGAGGGCATGCGGAGGAGCCGCAGAGGAACCGACGCTGGGGCTGGGTCCGCAAGCGGCCCCAGCCACGCTCGACCATTTCCCTCGCTGAGCGAGGGTCGCGACGAAAAGCAAGTTACCTTCCCCACAACGACGCTAGACACCCATGACGCCGGACTCCGCCGGCCGGCCGGGCCCTTCCCCTGCCCGGCCCCAGCCACGTTATTCCCCGCCCCAGCCAAGCCCAACCCCCGCCAGGCCTCCCGTATGAGCTCCGGGCCTCTCGTGACCCGCGCGCCCACCCTCCTTCCCTCACCGGGTCCTCAATGGCGCCGTCCCCCGGGTCACTCTCCACAAGCCCCGGCTCTTCCTCCTCCTCTTGGCTACCGGCGGCTCCCGAGCCAGGCCCAGGGCCAGGAGCTCCCGGGGGGGCGCGGGGCCGGGGCGGCTCCTCTTCGGGCTCGGGTTCCGGCTCGGGCTCCAACAGCAGCTCCCCAGGCTCCAGTTCCTCAGACTCCACGCCGTTCCCGTAGTCCCCTGCGCCCCCCGGGGCCCCCTCCCCGGCCTCCCCACCGGCCCCGGGCACAAGATGGCGCCTCCGCCCCGGCCCGGAGCCCCGACCACCCGCAGCCCCTGCTGCTGCTGCCGCCGCCGCCGCCGCCGCCATCGCCGCTCAGACTGGGGCCCGCCGCTCCGCGATTGGAGAGCTGCGCCGGCCACGTCGAGGATTCATTAGTCAAGCAGGGTGCCCGTCACGCGGGACTGGGACTCCATTGGGGACCACAACTTGGCAATCAAATAAGACCCCGCCTCTAAAGGCGGGGCACTGCGCCAAATTCTCAAATCCCGGTAGGAGAAATCTGTCTGTCAATCAACATACGTTCCACCTTCTCTCAAATTCTTTAGGTAACAGTACTGCCGCACAGTGACATTCCTTGCTCCTCCCTTGCCTACGGGAGGGCTCACGAACTATAGGACGCTTGGTGATTGGCCCCTGACTACGCGACTAGAAAGCTCCATTCTTCCGATCGCCTCACTGCAACAGTCTGGTCTCCAGTGGCGATTGGCTCGCGAGATTGAAAGGGCTGACATCCGTTGGGTGACAAAAATGAGGCTTGTGGAGGGACTGGCTGCCGGGCTTCAAGCTAGGGAAACCCGCGGTCCTTGGGGGCCGCCATCTTGAGGCTGCTGAGGACCAACTATCGAGCTGTTTTAGGCAGAGGCCCGATCGCGGGGGTAGGGGAGGGCAGTAGAGGATTCCTGGAAACTGGTCTCCTAACCAGGAAAACACCAGAAGGTGGGATGTTGCCGGAAGCGGAGGTTCTGAATGGAGCATTCCAGGAAGGAACTTACTTTTCAATTTAATTAATGGCACCCCCATCCATCCGGTCTCCCCAACTATAAAGCAGGGAAGAGTTCTCACTCAGACGTACCAATCATGAGACCTGTCGTCCTGCCTAGTTTCAGTCTGTTTCTTCTCTTGTCTGGACTGTTAGTTTCTCAGCTTCTAGGTCACCGCCCCTCCAACCTGCAACGCTACCAAACTGGCTTCCCCTTTCCTGGGCAAGTAAAGCTCAAAATTCCTTACTGCAGCTTTAAATACCCAGGGCCTGGCTACTTTGTGAAAGTTTCCATATTGCTCCTCCTCATAGGTGTACCTGGCATTCAGACTATGCCTCTGTACATGCAGTCTGTTCTCAACCAGACAACGGCAAAACCCAGTAATCCCCTCATGCAAAGCCCTCCACAGCGGGCCTACCTCCACTGTGCGCTTAACGGTTTTGTGCTGTCTTTCCTCAGTAAGCAGGGAGTGCCTGCCGGTGAGGGACTGAGTCCTATTTCTATTTCCACCGCGAAACAGTATGCCCAACATATAACGCGTGTCCTTTATGGGTCTTTGTTGACTGAAAGATGCACTGACTGGAGATCTGCGTGCCACCCCCATCTTCAATTTCCCAGCCTCCAAGCCCTCTTTGGACATGGCTGCACCCTGAGACATCAATAAGACCTGGCGCTGGGAAGGCAGGGTGCCATATTTTAGTAGAGACCTACACATTAGAAGTAAAGAGGTGCTAGATTTCCAAGAGGCATTTTTTTGTAGGCATACTCATGACAGGTCTGAGAACCAGATTCACATGAGCTCAAGCAAAAAGTTAAACAAGCATGGTTGGGACACAGGGATTTGTCTGAGGAGATCCCTATTAGCAAACCAAAGAATCAAAAGCACTCATTGTACCCCACTCTTTCCCTCACCCCCACTTTTTCTCCCAATGCCTTACCTGGGGAGATGAGGAACTTGGAGGAGAGTCACAGTCACTTAAAAGTTCCCCCAAAAACTTATCAGCCACCTCTCAGCTTCAGTGATCAGGGAGAACTACAAGGATGTGCACTGAAAACAAACTCTTAGTTCCCTGGAAGAAACGTCTGTTTATACTGATGTTGATCTAATTTATTCAGGATTTGAGTTGGGTTGAGCTGGGTATAGTTGCACACCCTAGTAATCCCAGCACTCCAGGGTGAGTTAGGCCAGGCATGGTGGCCCACAACTGTAATCCCAGCACTCAAGACACTGAGGCAGGAGGACTGCCGTGAGTTCCAGGCCACTCTGGTCTACATAGACCAAAAAGAAAAAGAAAAAGCTCAAGTCAAAAGGATCACTGTGAGCTCGAGGCCAGCCTGGACTATATATTGAGGGCTGGTCTGAAAAAAAAATTTTTTTTGGAGCATTTTACTGATAATTTCATTTAAGCAAGACAGCTAAGGAAAATGTGGATTTTTTTTTTTTTTTAACGCCTTTGCTTTTTTGCTTTTTTTTTTGACAGGGTCTCACTGTGTAGTTTAGGCTGGCCTTAAACTCGCTGTGTAGTCCAGGCTGGCCTCAAACTCCTGGCAGTCCTCCTACCTCGGCCTCCCAAGTGCTGGGATTATAGGTGTATGCCATCACATCCGGCTAAATCCTATTTTTGTTAAGCACTTCATTTTGTAACAGCTTCTATTTCTTATCTCATTGAATTCTCACAATAACCTAATAAATACTTTCAAAACCATAACATTTTCCCCCATTACTGGGGACTGAACCAGGACATTCACAACGAACTACATTATAAGCCTTTTTTAATTTATAATTTTGAGATGGAGTCTCACTAAGTGACTAAGTACCAAGGCTGGGATCAAACTTATGATGTTCCTGCCTCAGCCGCCCAGAGTGCTGGGATTGTAGGTGTGTGTCACCACACCCAGCCAAAGTCACTATTTTTTTTAGGTAAGAAAACGTTTTAAAGAAGTAGAGTACTGTAATTTGCCCAAGTCTTGGAGCTATCTAGGGGTGTAGGGAATTCAAAGCCAGTTTTCAGAACATATCAAAATTCACTAATACCTGCTTTAATATGAAAAAAAATATGTATAACACAAAACTGCAAAAAAATACATTTAAATTCAACAATAGACAATATTTAAATACTACATTGTTTCTCTGGTATGAGAAACCAAAAGTGGAAATAAGGACTAAAATTTATAATAGATATTGGGAAATGAGAAGAAAATGTTCAAATGAGAAGGGGAACAAGGAAAGAGGGAGGGAGAAAGGAGGGAAGGGACAAGAAAAAAAAGTGAAAATAGAAAAAATGGAAACAAAGATTTTGTGTTTCTGTAGTACTGGGGATCAAACTCAGGACCTTGTGCTTTCGAGGCAGGCACCATGCCACTGAGCTACATCCCAAGCCTAAAAGAAAGATTTTGTACATAGGGAGGGGATGGGACTTGAGGAGAGAGATTAATGGGAAAAAAGAGGCTGGATGTACCATGTACAGGTGCAAATTCCCTGTGAGTGTTGTCATTATGTATGCCTAAAATGTACCAATAAACATTTTGCTATAAAAAATAAACTAAAAATTATATCTAATCAAAAATTATTTTGTAGCTAATAAAATGTTATATGTGTCATAAACATGCAAAAATGACAAGACTATAAAATTTTATATAAGTATGATTACAACTATGTTTAGCTGATTAAAAAAAAAAACCTTGGGACATAAGGGAAAAAGGAACAAAAAGCCAATACAATCTTTCTATTCTTTGGCAATACATACCCAAACCAGACCATCCTAATGCAGAACACTTGGGCCAGAAATAAGGGTAGTTTCAATCTTGTTTGTATGTATGTATGTATGTATTTATTTATTTATTTATTTATTTTGGTACTGGGGATTGAACGCACAAGCGCAAAGACCTGAGTTCGATCCTCGATACCAAAAAAAAAAAAAAAATGTACAATCTGGAACTACATTTTGTGTGTGTGTGTGTGTGTGTGTGTCGGTACTGGGAATAGAAACCTAGTACCTCTTACTGAGCTAGATTCCCACCCCTTTTTAAAATAAATTCCTTAGGCTGGGTTCAAACTTGTGACTGTCTTGCCTCAGTCTCCCCAGGGGCTGAGATTGCACCACCATGCTGGCTTAGAAGTACATGCAATAATATGGTAACCACTCATATGTCACATATGGCTATTGAATAGCCTGATTTAAAATATGCTGAAAGTGTAAAATACAGACTGAATTTTGACGGCTTAGTATGAAAAAAAATGTGGAATAACTCAATAATTGTTTACAGCCAGGCATGGTGGTGCACACCTGTGATCTCATCCCTCTGGGAGGCTGAGGCAGGATAGCAACTTCAGGCTCAGCTTGGTCAACTTAATCACTTAGTGAGAACTAGTCTCAAAATAAACTTTTGTGTTGTTTATTTTTGAGACAGGGTCTCGCTATGAAGTTCAGGTGGTTGAGGTGGTCTTGAACTCACTGTGTAGCCCAGGCTGGCCTTGAAATCATGGCAATCCTTCTGTTTCAGTCTCCTATATGCTGGGATTACAGGCATGCATCACCATGCCTGCCTACAAAATCCTTTTTAAAAAGCTGTCAATGGAAAAAAAAAAAAAAAAAAGCTGTCAATGTACCTCAGAGGAATGGCCTTGGGTTCAATCTCACCCCCTAAATTTTTTTTTTTTCTTTTCGGTACTGGGGATCCAACTCAGGACCTTGCACTTGAGTGGTAGGTGGTAGAACCACTGAGCTAAATCCCCGGCCCTAAAAAAATTTTTTAAATTAATTACATGTTAAAATGATAGTATCTTTAACATACTGTGCTAAACAATTACTGAAATTAGTTTTACCTATATCTTTTGCTTTTTTTTTTTTTTTTTTTGAGACAGGGGCTATGTAGTCCAGGCTGGCCTTGAACTCACCATGTAGCCCAGGCTGGCCTCAAATTTGCAGCAATCCTCTTGCTTCACCCTCCTAAGTGCCGGGATTACAGGTGTTCAACACCATGTCTGGCTGTGTTTTTAATAAATTACTAGAAAATATAAAAACTACATATGTATATATATATTT